AAAAAAAAAAAGACAACACAGGCTAGAAAAAGGAAAAAAAAAAAGGTCCAAACTCATTCTAAACATATTTATATGAAAATTGGTTTAACATTTTTAAGTTCATGGACAAGTTTTCCTATTAAACTCTTAAATGAATACTATATATATATTTCAAAAATACCCAATTTATTTTATCTCGCATTTGTCATCTCAACTTCATTAACCCAATTAAAAATAAAAAACAATCGCTATTCACATATTCCAACAAAATTAATTGTCACATTATCACCGTTCTTATCAACACAATTTAAGAAATAAATAAGAATAATTGACACACAATTTCCTGTAATAATGCACATACTAATGTATTTATAACTAACAATCATTATCAACTAATATTTATTAATTTAGTATCACATAAGATTTACTGATTATATTTTTATTTTGTACTAATTCAAGATCTAAAGTATGTTCATATTTCCTTTTCTAAAATATTTTGTCCACAATTCTATTTCTTCAAGATAATCGTTTTAAATATGTTATTTTGTTTTCAATTTTCACCCAAAGAAAAAATGAATATGTTTAAGAGTATATTTTGTCCTCAATGGGTTTTGTAATTCTAAAATTTGATTATTGATTTTTTTTTCCTTTTCCCTTCCTAATTAGGACTCCCTCTGAAAAAGATATATTTTCTTCTTTTTTGTTTGCTTTCCAATGTAAAAAGAATAAGGTAATTATTGTAATTATAAATTCTCTTTTATTTAGATAATTAATCAAAAGTTGTACAATAATAATAGTAATAATAATAATAATAATAATAATAATAATAATAGTATTACTAATATGAGTTGTACTAGAGGATTCGCTGACACTGAGAGGAACAAGCTGGTTGAAGGGCAGTTTAGAGATTGGTTGAAGGCCAATTAGACAATTGCAGGTGGTAGGAGTAGTAGTCAGACTGACAGTTCAGGTGGCAAAGTGAGCTAACCCCAAAACAATTCAAACCAGGAGTCATTGATGTCAACAAACACGACACATGTATTAATTCAAACAGAACAACTACAAGATATGGACCACAATGAATAAAAATAGATTGAACCAGATATTGACAAGAGTCTCAACAATGGTGAGGAGGAGTTGTTGAAATTTGCACTAATACGAGGAGAAGCTGAAACATCGAGTACAAATGAGGTAGATAGATCCACCATGAACCCAATGGAGATTGAAGATAAAGACATGGGTGAAGAGGTTCCTTCAGACATAGCTTTGACTTCCCAGGGTGTTCAAATGGTGAAGAAGAAGCCTGGTGCTTCATGGAAAAGGAGAGTTGTTTCTGATGGTAGACTTTTGAGGATGGATGAGAAGCAAAAGAGGGCATTCACCAATCATCCTTGAAAATAAATAGAGAACTAGTGATTTATGAAGAGGGGACAAATGATATTAGAAAGAACTCATTAACAAGAGGAAGAAAGCTAACAGTGAGAATCCTAAGATGGAGAAGGCTAACCTCAAATGGCCCCAATGTGATCAATGAAGGCTATGGTGTGGAACTGTAGAGGACTAGGTGGACCTCTACAGTTTCCTAGATTAAGGATTCTAGAAGAATCCACCACCCAAATGTTGTTTTTCTGCCTGAGACTAATAAATCTAGTGATTTTACAAAAAAAAAAAAAAAAGTATGTAAAAAGTTAGGATTCCAGAGTAGATGGCATTTGGAATAACCTCTTGACACTAAAGGGGGTTCGCTGGTTATGTGGGATCTTGATATTAAAGTGAGACAAATTTTAGGAAATGAATTTCGTATTCAAATAGAAGTTAAAGGTGCAGGCCTCAAACAATGGTGTTGGATGATATTTTTCTATCTTAGTACTGATAAGAAATAAAGAAAAAGACAATGGTAATTCATTGAGATCAGTAGAATGGACTGGGGTAACTGTTGGGAGTGGCAGGTGATTGGAATAACATAACAAGCAATGAGAAAAAGAGGGGAGGGGTGAAGAGAAATACATCCAGTTTTGTGGGCTTTATTGAATTTATAGTGAGAATGGAAATGCCAGAAATGGACCAAAAGGGGTAATTTTTTACATGGCGAAATAACAGAGCTAATCAAGGGTATGTGGAGGAAAGGCTAGATAAAGTGTCTGTATCTCTAGATTGGATGGTCAAGTTTCCAAAAATGTTGGTATCCAACTTCTTCAAAACAACCTCTGACCACAATGTGATTTTTTTTTTTACACTGGCATATTTCAGTTTAATACTAGTTGACTGAAAATGGAGGGCGTTCAGGAAATTGTAAAAGTGGGGTGGCAAGTGTATGTTGAAGGATCAACTATGTTTTAGTTTCATTAGGAAGTTAAGAACACCAGAATGACACTCTTATCCTGGCACGAACCAGCTAACAAAAGTAATGAGAAAGTGATCAAAGTCCTAACAACAAGAATGGATGATATGAGAAATGAAGGCAAAGACAGAAATTGGGATGAATGGGGGTCCATGAAAGCCCTTATACAGGTCACCTATAGGGCTTATAGAGAATGAGAGGGGCTCACTTTTGCACTTGACAGTGGTCATCAGACAGACGAACAATATTAGAGATTGAGAGCCATGTGGCTCAAAGCAGGAGATTGTAACACTCGCTTTTTCCATGCTTATACTACCCAAAGAAGAAGGACAAATTTAATTCACAAGTTGGTTACCAGTACAAGGATGATCTGTGATACTCAGGATACTATGGAAAGCTATATTTCTAAATTCTACTCCTGAATGTTTACTCCTGAAGGATCCAGAGGAGATGAGGTACTTCAACAGATTCCTTTCTCCATCTTAGGTGCAATGAATAATGACCTCATCAAACCTATTCAGAAAAAAGAAATTAAGAAAACTCTTTTAAGCATGACTCTTGAGAAAGCCTTGCGGGCAGATTGAATTTACATGACAAAATGTTAACATTCACAATTCATCAATGTTCCAGAGCAAAAATTGCACTGAAGAGTTAAAAACTAAGATTTGTTCAATTCTGCAAGGAGTGGTGGTTAAAAGATCATCTAGATACCTTGGTCTGCCTTTAGAATTGATGCTTCTAAGATTGAGGCTTTTCAATTTGTTGTGGATACTGTGAGGGACATAATTAATAGTTGAAAGAATTGTTTTCTCTTTATAGCTAGTTGGTGCCAAATTCAGGTGGAATGAGGGGGATATGCAGATTCAAAACATGCATTGGATGTCTTTGGATAAACTTGCTATTCCCAAGTGTGATGTGGGCCTCAGTTTCCCTGACATTCAGTTGTTTAACAAAGTGCTTATTCTGAAGCACTTATGGAGAATAATAGCACAACCTGATCTTCTGATGAGTAAAGTACTGAAAAGTGGAGATTGTTGGGATGCTAATCTGGTCAGAGCATTGTAAGAAGAGGATGCCACAAAGATATTGCAAATTAAATCAATCCCAGAAATGTTGATTAGTGGAATAGCTCCTTTATGATCAAAGGAAAATTCTCAGTCAAGAAGGCATATTCTATGTTGTTATCTGAAAAGCTAAGCTCAAGAACAATTACTGAAAACAGTAGCTTGGTTGGGGGAAACAAAAGAGCTAGAACAAGATGTTGGAATCTCAAAGTGATGGGCAAGGTGAAGCACTTTATCTGGAAGTGCTCAGATATATTACATGTTAGCTGCAATTTTGAAAAAATAGGGCTTCAAGTGGGCACTATATGCAGACTCTGTGGTAAGGATGTCGAAACTCAAGAACATGTGCTATTTATGTGCAGAAGAGTTGTACTCACTTAGCAGATTGCACAAGTTCAGTGGAACAGAGTGCAGCAGGAGCAGCTGAGCTTTAAACAATGGTGATGGTGGATATGCACAATGAATTTCAAAGAGATCTCAGAAGATACGATCCAATTATCCACATATATTTTGTGGTGACTCTGGAGGGCAAGGAACCTTTGGGTTTTTGAAAAATAGTGGCAACCAGAGGTGTGGATAATTAAATCAGCAATGCCGGATTAGATCGACTACAAAGCCAGCAATTTGAGAGAATAACAGGAGTTACAAAGGCGGTGGACTAGGTCTAGTGTCAATGGTCTATCTGTATTGTATTTTTTATTATGGTCCCTATCGTTTAGCTGGTTACAGCAGTAGTTAGGACCTCATGTTGTTGCTGTTAGTATTGCACATGTTGTTGGCTGGAGTTTTACTTGGGCATTGTATTTGTATGTTGTGTGATTCGGTTAGGCACCATTGTGTGCTTGTCCTCCTAGTTACCCAAAATTGGGGATTTCCGAACATTACCTTTATTTGGTTTTATTAATTAATGTAGCTATTCTATTGTTGGAAATAATAATAATAATAATAATAATAATAATAATAATAATAATAATAATAATAATAATAGTGATAATAAAGGTGTTCCCTCCACATCTATATCCGAACCAAATTCCCTCCCTTCGTCTCCACTCCCCCCTTTTTCCCTCGTTTTCTTCCCCCATTTACTTTCCCTCTTTTTTTTTTTTAATTTATTTGATTAATTTCTTCTTGAATCAGATCTCTCCATAGCAGAGATTCTTCATCTCCCAGTTTCAACTTGTTTCCAATTTTGCTTTTCTCCGTTAAGAAAAACCTCGAAGATCAATTTCTTAAAAAAAAAAAAAACCAGGTTAATTAGAAAAATTCAGGGTCTTTGGGTGTGTTTGAGCTTCTAGAAAGATATCGAATCATGGAGCAGCAGCAGCAGCAGCAGAACAGTTCGAGGAAACAGCCTCCGTTTGCTTCCATGATGCCGCCGTTCGGTGGGGGAGGAGCAGGCGGAGGCGGCGACTACCACCACTTCGCCGCCGCTGGTTCTCACCGGCCAGATCGAGAATTTGTTGAGACTGTCGTTGTGAAGAGGCTTCCCGTGAGTATTAACTTCTCATAAAATTTAGCATTCTTTTTATGGACACCCGATTGCGTTTGCTGTGAATATGTCTACGCAGCTTTTAGAATTACTGTTTGATGTGGACCAAGATTTTTTCTTTTTTCTTTTTTCGCATGATTTGCGTTATTACCTACTCGTCTATGTTAATGACTTTCATGAATTGTGGACAGATAGAAAATGTCAATGTCGAAATCTGAGTTGGGGGTTTCTTTAGGGGTGGTTATTTCATTAATCTAAGGAAATGATGGGGACTTTAAAGTTGAATATATTTGACTTCTAAACCGCTTTGGGCTTGACTGGCGTATCGTAGTTCGTTTGATGGTAAAATATCCAGTGTTTATGTTATCGAGGCAGTTCTTTGAAGTGGATTTATCTACAGCTTGGTTGTAAAATCATGCTTCACATTCATCGACATTAATGATCTATTATATGTGTTATAAAAAACTTGTTTACATAATCTAGGCAGTGATTGTGGTTGATGCTGTCGACCGTGTAAGCATTATATACATCTTTATCACTCGGTTTCAGTTTCCCATTCCTTGACAGATTCTAATATTTCTTAGAAGTCGATTGCTCACCTCATCTAATCACAGTGATGTATTACAAATGCCGCATATAATCGCTGAATCTTGCCTGCATTCACATATCCCTTGCCACTTGACATTAGTTACTCATTTCTTTTCTTTTCTGTCGTTTTGTACCTTGTCATAATTTACCTTCTTATACCATGCCACTACTCGAATGGAAGTTGCATTCGCTATCTTCGTCAGGAAAAAAAGTGTAAATTGAACGACAAAGTAGCTACATTTACTAGTGGAAAATAGAGTTCCAAATCAGAATAGAGAAACTTCCCAGTATACGTAAAGTTGTATGTTGCTGTAAAGAGACCAATTTGTCAGTATTGTTTCCTCAGTTTTCCAATAGACGAATATTAGCATCTTTCTGAATATGGTAACTTTGAGGAGGTACAGAGTATAGCCCTTATTGAGATGATTCTATCAGTGCATTCGATATATGATGAGTAAATCATCATCTGGTAATCTGGAATTATATATTTTGCTCACTAAATGGCATATTAGGGGTTTTACAATTACAAGACATAGCAGTAAGTCGGATTTGAGTAGCTCAGTGTAATCCAGAATTATCTATATGTTTAAGGTCTTTCTGAGACCAGAAACTGAAGATTTTTTTTTATTATCTTTTTTTAAATTTTTTTATGACGAGTCCAACATAACTTATACTTCCCATTTCCAATGTATAACAGCCTATAGTATACTATTGTCAGTTTGGGTCCACCGTATCTATGTCAAATGTTTAATAGTTTGTTGCCATGGATAAGATGAATTTAGTTGAATGTATGCTGGCAAAAGGGCTTAGTACGACTGGAATGCAACATGGATGAGGGGGGGAGATTGTATGTGGAAGTCACCTTCTTTTTTACTGGGAAAGATAGTCGGAAATAAAGAGGAAGGATTTTTATATTCCTCTCACTTAACTTTCTCGGCAAAAAAATCATGTAGGTTTTGAATTGTCATCTTAGAGAATAAATTGAATGATAATATCTTTTTAGTATGAGTTAAAAGATTAAAAGGATGAAGGATGCGTGCTCCCAACTAGTCTCTTATATAGTTTCTTTCCGTTGTCTGCTCCTGCGTGGCAAACAAATGTCGAAAACAATATCTTACCCTTTGAGGGGAAGGCTTTAAGATTTCAATAAGTTGTCTTAAAAGACTAGTTACTTTCTTATGACAAATGATTTGACAGTAGTTTCCGTAGTTAAAGACAGCTATCTCTGCTTCTCATCTCCTGAACATTGTTCAGGTAATTATTTTAGGATATAATGTGCTTTTTCATCTCCTGGATGATCTGTCTTGGAAAAACTGCGATTACTTTAACATTTTATTTTTTTTTATTTCCTTTTCCCTTTTAGGAGCTTATACTCTTTTTGCATATGATACTCATGTTTCTTGGGAAGGTTGTTCAAGGCATCTTTTGATTATTCTAGTTATGGCTCTTTATGTTTTGTATGCTAGCACTTGATTGCTCTGTCAAGATAAAAGAATAAATAAGAACTTGGGCAAGATGAAGTAGCTGGAGGCTACTAAATCCAACTGGTGGTTCATTGAGATTTAGGACCTATTGTGACTTGTTTTCGATTTAGGACCTATTGTGACTTGTTTTATTGAATTCAATGGGATGAATGATAAAGTTCTATTACTGTCACTTAGTAAGATTCATACTGCTAAATCTACTTATCTTCACGTTTGCTTGACGAGGGAAATGAATGGACTGATATCATTTTCTCACTGAACCAAATTGCTTATTATAATGAGTCTGTTTTTGTCTACCCTTAGATTATGCTATTATTTATATTTCTTGTTCATTTTTCCCTTACCTCAATGTCTTATTGAGGTTTCTTGCTGACTCTGAGTTTATGGCTTGTTTATATGTCCCTGCTAGTCATTGAAGCGGAAAACTGGAGCAGTCGATCGTGATGTAGAATCCGGTGAGAGAAATGCAGGAGCTGGAGGTGCTGCTGTCATCAAAGGTCCACTTCAGACACCACCGTCCGCAACATCAGGAAAAGCCCGTAAAGCCCCAAGATCAACTAAGGCCAACAAAGCTTCATCTCGAATTCCTGTGTCAAATGTTGGTGAGCAGTTATGATTATAAAGTTCATATTTGCTTTTTCCTCTCCGAAAGTATCTTTTTCAAGATCCCCTGATTGCAAGTTTAACTTGAAGAGAAACGTAGTTTCTAACAAACATTTTTCTGCAGGTTCTCCTGGAGGCAATAATCTCACTCCTGTGGGCCCCTGTCGTTATGATAGCTCGTTAGGTAAGAAATAAGCCCATTCTATTTTTACGTTTATTTTTGTAAAGTAATATCTTTATTTCTAGATAGGTTGACTCAAAATTTAACTTTAGTGAAGCTGAGGATAAACATATAAAGTTTCATGTTCCCCCATCTCAGGTCTCTTAACAAAGAAGTTCATCGATCTGATTAAACGTGCAGAAGATGGTATTCTTGACTTGAACAAAGCTGCAGATACTTTGGAGGTGATTATGTTTGTAACCAGTGCTTCTGTGGCTGTGTTATGAGCAATATCTAGCCTTGAGTATTAATTTATTACTTCCTCAACAGGTTCAAAAGAGGCGTATATATGATATAACTAATGTCCTCGAAGGCATTGGTCTTATAGAGAAGACACTGAAGAACAGAATCCAGTGGAAGTATGGAAGAACACGTCTCATACACTTTATTTTACCAGATTCTTTACCTCTTTCGTACATTTTAAGTTTGCTTGTTTCTTGCTAGCAATTAAGAATATACAAGTTACTGATAGGTAATTTTCTTGGATAGGGGGGTGGACGTCTCAAGACCAGGGGATGCTGATGAGAGTATTTGCAGTTTGCAGGTACATAAATAAAAAATGTACATAATTATGTAAAACAATGCTCTCAGTGTTTCCTTTTTGGATTTTACTTTATCACATTTTGCTTATAGCACAATCCTTTAATGTGGTTTTTTCTTAGCTGTTCCTACCACATGTCGTCTCATTATTCTGCATCACATTAACTATAACAACCCCTTAGATAATAATTCTAACAAATAATTATGGGCATTCGAATTGCAGAACGTTGCGTATGCCGAATTGTTGCTCTTTTGCATGCCTTATTTACGGATAGGTTAGATAAGTTTTCATCAGCCTCTTTTTCCTTGTCAGGCAGAGGTAGAAAATCTGAATTTGGAGGAGCACAAATTAGACGAGCGCATAAGGTCATAACCTGTAGCTTTAGTTCAATGTCATCTACTCTGATTTTTTTTTTTTTTCCATTGAAAAATTCCTTTTAAGTAAGTTTATGTTCTATTACAGAGAAATGCAGGACAAACTAAGAGGCCTAAGTGAAGATGAAAACAATCAAAGGTAAGCACACTATGTCCTTCAGGGAATTCATTTAAATTTTCATTCTCGGCCAACTCATAATTGTCGGGTCGCTTACCATTTCATTTTTATTATCTTTGCCAGGTGGCTTTTTGTCACTGAAGAAGACATCAAAACCTTACCGTGCTTCCAGGTATAAGTTTGGTAGGAAAGCAACAGCATTATGTGCTTGTATATGTGTGTATCCGAATTATTTAATGCTAAGGTATTGTTCTTTCCATCAGAATGAAACTCTGATAGCAATTAAAGCTCCTCATGGAACTACATTAGAAGTTCCAGACCCTGACGAGGTACTTCTACGTGTTCTTTTAGAGTATAACCCGGACCCAACAGTGTTTCAAACATAAACTCTAATTTATACTTCTTTCCCAATTTGCCTCTCAGGCCGTGGATTACTCACAAAGGAGGTACAAAATAGTTCTTCGCAGCACCATGGGGCCCATAGATGTTTATCTCGTTAGGTATGTTTGCTTTCAGTCAAGTCAAGTATCCTTCCTGAAGGGGTTATTTAATCATTAAATTATTTATTGGTGGCATGTCTCAGTCAATTTGAGGAAAACTTTGAGGAGGCGCATGGTGTTGAGGCCCAAGCAAACGATCCGGAAGCATCAGGTGCCAATGAGGATGCGCCTGCACCCTTACCAATAGAGAATGTTAGAGGAAATGAAATTGATATGCAGGGAATAGCAGGTCAAAGAATGTGCCCAGACGCTAGTACATCACAGGACTTTGCGGGTGGAATGATGAAAATCGTACCGGATGTCGATGTAAGTCAATAATTTCAACTTTTTTTTTTAATCTTTTCCAGTTGTTGTCTAGTTTTTGAAAGCTTCGCACATTGTTATTATTTAAGGCGGTTTATTCACTTAAAAGATTAAGTGATTAACAAAATAACCAGAACGATGACTTCCCCCCTAAAGCTGATTTAAAAAGTGGAGAACGTTTTAGGCCGTGAAAGAAAGCATGGTTTTAAGTTAAAATGCAATTATGAAAATAACCTAGACTATGTCCTCTTTCTTTAACCTTTCGAAACATTACAAATGCTTAACTCATCTCTCATTTTCTCAACTCCATTAGAAATTCGATTGCTTAAATAAAATTCAATCTTACTTCACATTTCATTTAAAATTTACTATTTATCAGTCGCATATTCAACTCACACTGTTATTTTATTATTTTTACATCACATCCATTGTAATAGTTGTCTTCCTTACACCCAGATACTCTTTTTAATTCTTTTCCACCCTAAAATGTTTTTCAAACACTCTTCTTTAGTGAAAGGAAAGCTTTTTATACGAAAGTATATCAATCGCACCCCGAACGTAAATTTCTAACTTTAGATTTAATATTTGGTGATTGCAGAGTGATGCTGACTATTGGCTGTTGTCTGATGTGGATATAAGCATCACCGACATGTGGAGGATTGAATGTATCCTAACTTTCTATTCTTCTTCCTCTTATTATTTTTGTTCACTTTTCTGAAAATTATTTTTTAGAAAAACACATCACACCATTCAGCCTGACTGAATAAGAAGAATGATTTGAATATTTAATTTTTTTACCACATTCCTTAACTGCAAACTGTACAGCTGGGATCGACTGGAGTACCTTAGATGTGATTCCCGAAGAGAGTGGCATGGCTAATGTCACCACACCACGAGCTGAGAACCCTACACCAAATACATCCGATACACAATCTTTCGTGCCGGGAGAACAAACTCCACCTCCAACTACATCGACTACGCCTTTTGCTACTGACACCACAGGGAGTTAAAGATTCAACGAGACGTCGGCATTGGGAGAAAAGAAGGGAAAAGGCAACAAAAACCAAAGATGATGCCTGGTTTCATCTCTTGTTGTATGTGAAGATAAGGAGTTCGATTTATATGAACTTGAAACTCTAGAAATAACGCAGATATTTTGGAGTACCGTCCAGAGCATTGAAGAAATTACATCATCCTCATGCACGTACAAAGCCGATGTAGAGTCACGTTTTATTGCTGCTGCGTATTTTATTCGTTCCCCAGGTGTGTTTTTTCTTATTGTAACCGGCATTGTTTTAGGTATTGTATGTATAGAAAAGAGATGGATTGCTGCAAACATTATGCACAATTTTAATTTTGAGCCTGAGAGTCAGAGACAGGTAAAAAGGCTTTGTACAGTTTCTTTTTTTCCCTCCTTTTTTTTGGAGGTAAATGCTGTAGCAGATGTGATTAGTTGCTCTAAGAATTTGAGGTCTTTATATTGTGCACACCCTTTTGCTCTAAAGAATTTGAGGTCTTTATAGGGCTCTGGCGCATATGAGGCATGCATTTTGCCTTTTTCATATACTATAATTTATATATTTTAATGTGATTTTGAATTATATTTTTTTTATATATTTTATAGTCTATTTAATTTTTGCATTATTATTTTACATTAATCAAACAAAAGAAATACATTAAATGTTGAACTGTGACAAACATATTGAAAGTTGAAATACAATTTTTAAAACAATAATATTTAAAAGTCATGGTGAAAAAGATTGCATTGAAATTTTGGTTGACAAACCTCATTATTTAAGTTAGTCTTGTTTATTCGAAATATTTTTGTTTAGATAAGATTGAGAAATATGCAAAACTAAATTGAAATCTTTTATAAAAATAATTGTTTGAATGTGATAGTTTATAATTATGCCTTCTTATCTTGTTGAAGAAGACCATTCTTTGTCATTATTTTTATTGACTAATAATAAGTTATAATTCAATTGAGATATGTTAGCAAAAATTTTAAATATTATTAGGATTATCTTCCATTTTTCAGTGACATAGTTTTCATATGCTTTTTTTCGCATGATCTAATTAATTATAGTTATTTTCATGAGTTACAAATATATATTAAAGTGCAAGTATTGGTCGAATTTTACTTCTTCTTTTTTCCATTCAACTACTACTTTATTTTCCATGAACCATAAACATATGGTACATAATCTCATTTGAATGTCAATAATCTTAAAAAATAATTTAAAAACATTAAAAATACTTTTCTAGTAATTTTTTTCACTTCACATACAAATTGATTTAAACTAAAAGTTTCATATTATGTATAATGAGCGATAGTTTTGGTTTTCAAGTCACATTTAATGCTCAAAAAGTTGTGACAGATTAACTTTTTTAAATATCAACCAATTAATGTGTAGTGAAATACATAAAATGTGTAATCTTAAGTTCATAACTACGAGACCGTAAAATCTTCTCCAATTCTTAATATAGATCAACCATATTGTTATAAACTTGGTCAAATTAAACATATTTACACACATACAAATTTGGTCAAATTTTTGTCTAATATTTTTAGTTATTTTTTTCCCATTCAAGTTTATTTGGATATCATATGATATCTTAAGTAGATGTAGTTTCATTTATGATAAGTTATCACAAAATGTATTGATCAAATCCTTATTAAGTTGAAATATTAATTCATCTAGATTTTTGTGTGAGACGGAATAACCATTAGGCCGATTGATCTATCATATTTTTTTAATAATATATATACAAATCCAATAAAATATCATACTTTTGTTTTGGATGTATGAATGTCGTTAGGTCTGCCTATTATTTTGTTTTTCATTATATTTTATTTTGTTAACTCATTTTTACATCATTGCGCAACCTTTATTAGTTTCACACACAATCACATCTTTTGGTTAAAAATCTATTTATTTTTATATTGTAACTATTTTATAATTGGTCTATTATTTATTATTACTTTTTATAATTAATTATAATATAACATTATAACTATTCTATTAACCTTTTTCTAATAAATAAATAAGTGGAAAATTGTAAATTAATAATATTTTCTTTTACCAAAATTTTAATTGTTTTTTTATTCAAAACCCATTTTTCGAGTCTAATTCATTTTGATATAGTGAATGGACAAGTCAAACTGGATCAGCATATCTCCTCGAGATGAACCGCTCTTTATCACCCTCCTATGAAAATAAAGAATGACTGGGGGCAGTCCAGATATAGTGAGAGAGATAGGAACAGAATGCACAAAACGAACATGATCAAAAGGACCTAGAAATAACATAAGAATGCTAGAATCACTCAACCTTGAACCCCGAGGGGAGACAACTCAACTCAATAGATAGAGTGTCTTGCTAGAGGTCAGGAACGCTAATAAGGCTAACTTTTGACCAGTAGCTTTCACGTGGCCACAAGCCATGGTTTTATCCTGAAATGCGCATAATAGGTTTGTTAGAATGGCTTCTTCGTTGGGTTAGATTCATTCTCCTTTCATGCCGAGTCAATTGCATTGAACCTATTCACATTCATTCAATACTTTTATATGATATATGTTGTTATATGGGAATCAACAACGATTATATAACGAAAAAGGACGTTGATTATTCAGAAATGTTTGATTTATGAATAGATAATTCAGAACAAGGTTTACTGAATGTAATAGTTTGTATTTTTCTCTGTCCTGCTTCCTTGGAAGCTTCTTTTTTTTCTTTTATATCTCTTTACAACATTATCACAATGATAATCATTACATCAGAAAAGTCAATGGCGGCCGATCGCCATTCATCCTTGTTGCACGCCACTTGGCAAAGCATAATGATGATTTGTGCTGAGTTGGCGCCGCCTTATGATGTCGGTTTGGCAAGTCATAGAGATCGGTTCGCTAAGTCATAACCGATATGTCATAACCGATGTGTCATAACTGATATGAGACGTCAGTTAGTTGATGAGGATGTCGGTTCTTGGTCCGTCTTCGCCCGATATGTGATTACTTTGAAATCCACGAGCATGTCAATCCTTTGAGAGAATATAATCTTCTAATTATTGAGCATTGAAACCCGATGAGTATTACTAACTCGGTTTACCGAAAACCATATCAATAATGTGGCCCCCAGCATTAATGGATGTCTTGAGAAAAGACGGGCAGTGATACTGAAAATATGTCAGGAAACTTTTAATTCGTGCGAGCCGGACATGTCGGTTTTTGTTGCTGTTTCTCCGATGTCTTTACACTTGGTACAGAAATGGAACTGAAAGCTGAAACGGCGCAATTTATTAAAATTAATTGCAACGTTCGCTGACGGGGCAACGGTTACTTTTCATAGGCCACGTAGCTATTGTTGAGAGGCGCGATTCTCAAAGGTTGTGTCGACTCGCGAATTTAGAGAGTTTAATCCACGCGCCCCTATTTCTTTCTCTCCCCAACGGTCACTACTGAATTTAGGGTTCAGTATAAATAAGAAATCGTCTCTTGAAGCTTACTTTACCTTTAACTTCCTTCTGCACTCGAATCTTTTGTTTTCTTGTAATCTCGTCGACTCACAATTGCCCTTAAAGCACTTCAGATCTGTGAACTTTTTCTTGTGGTAAGAGTTATTGCTTTGTTTTATTTATCTACTTCGGCATATTTTTTTTCTTCAAATCATGAGTGTGTCGTGGGCATCTTCTGGTGACAATGAGTTGGATGTCATGATGATCAACATGATCCATTCCGGGGAGATGGAATTGCTTTCCGAATAAAACCGGTGGGATCCAGTTTTTGTCGAACGCTTAAATATCTGATTAAATGATACCGAGAGGGACAAAAAAGTGGAGGATCACGCTGTCGATGATTCCATATTTTGGAGGCGACTTATTAGAAGGTGGCCAGACCCTGAAGTTACATCCCATGGTGAACCGAGTATATTGACAGACGCCGATGTCATTATGCTGCGGGGTGAGATTCGAGTTCCCACATCGGTACATCTATTTGCGCCATATCCTGGGGAAAGGATTACATGTCCACCGCCAGGGTGTGTCGGTGTGTTCGCTGAAAGTTTAAGGTCAGGATTGCGATTTTCTTTACCACGCATAATCACTGAGTACCTACGGAATTGGGAATTCCCCTTATGTCAAGTTGCTCCAAATTCATGGAAGCGAATTATCGGACTACTCGTGCTCTTGGCCAAAAAGAAGTGGGATTTGTCGTCGGCAAGAGACATGAGAAGCATGTTTACTTTTAGAAAAAGTCTGGATAGACAAGTAACGGGCCCGCTTTTAACTTTCTCAATCGTCGGGAAGCCTCAGTCAAGGGTTAAAGTCGGCGAGTTGATAACTGAAATCCCCGATACGCTTCATGGATTCCAAGAAGAATGGTTGTGGGTTGGTGGAGACTGGCAGTGTGCCGACTTTGCCAATGATCTTCTTGCCAATGGGACGAGTATCCCGATGGCTATTAAAT